TCGGACTTGAAATTACTAAGAGCACTAAAAGACTAAAGACTAAAGAGTTACTGCGCCGGTGCGTTGCATTGGCGCACCAAGCCATTTGCGTGGCACTGCGCCAACTCCAAAAATTCACTGAGTTACCCAGGCCCACTTCTCGGTGCTCGGATCTGCTGCCATCGCCGAGAGACACGGAAAATAATTTCCAAACTTCATTTTCAAACGCTTAATCTTCCGTTTACAGCGATGGAGTGAACGATGAGCGAGACAATTGCGTGTCTGCGCCCAATCCAAGCCAAATGGACACGGATTATGATGGTCTGGGGGACGAATGTGACGACGATCTTGACGGAGATGGAATCTCGAACAATGTAGACAACTGTATCTATATCTACAATCCCGATCAAGCTGATTCCGACAGTATGAAAATCTCAAATCAGAACCTTAAGGCTTCCAAATTGTCCTGGTGTTTTTTAGGTGATGGCATTGGGAACATATGCACTAATAACCTCGATGGCGACCTCATTGTAGATTACGTAGACAACTGTCCCAATAACTCTCTAATCTACAGAACGGATTTCAGAAAATTCCAAACGGTAATCCTGGATCCCATCGGTGAATCGCAGAAAGATCCCTATTGGCTAGTATACAACAATGGAAGCGAGATTTACCAATCCTTGAACAGTGATCCAGGCCTGGCTATTGGCTATGATCAGCTAATTGGTGTAGATTTCGAAGGGACCTTCTTTGTGGACACTGAGGTCGATGACGATTACGTGGGATTTGTTTTCAGTTATCAGAACAATAAGAAGTTTTACACGGTAATGTGGAAGAAGAACCACCAGACTTATTGGCAATCGACTCCATTCCGAGCAGTGGCCGAGCCCGGGATCCAGATAAAGCTGGTGGACTCTGAAACAGGGCCGGGCACACATTTGAGGAACGCCCTTTGGCATACTGGGGATACTCCCAAGCAGGTGAAACTGCTCTGGGTTGATGCAAACAACGTTGGTTGGAAAGAGAAGACGGCCTATAGATGGTTCTTAATCCACAGGCCTCTGATTGGGCTGATTCGCTTCAAGATCTTCGAAGGAGAGCAAATGATTGCTGATTCTGGAAATATATTCGACTCCACTCTGGCTGGCGGTCGCCTTGGGGTCTTGTGCTTCTCGCAGGAGAAGATTATATGGTCTGATTTGGTCTACCGGTGCAATGGTAAGTTGATCAATGGGCCGTTACCAGGCCGAAGTCACATATATTCGTACGATTTAGATAATCTTCGGGAAGAAATCTACAACGAGCTGCCGCATTCATTGCGCGGCCGGGTCCACATTGACAACACGATCTACCAGCACGTCCAGCAGCAGCAGTAGTTCTCTTGTATAAATGTTACAAAGTAATGCAATAATAAAGAAAAATAGTGCTGTATTAATGAATCTGCATGAGACTCGAAATGTGCCTTTTATAACAGCAAAGGGTTTGATTGAAGGAGTTTGATTGAGGTAGACTTTTTCAAACATCAATGACACAAACTCTAAAAAGACTCAAATTTTGCGTTCAACATCAAAAGAAAGAGAATAGCCAGTAGATGAGGTAGAAAAGTATGAAGTATCACTCAATTTGTCTTTGTTTCAAAAATAAAATGGAGAAATTGGTAAGGATTTTGAGCTAAATTCACGTTTTCAAAATTCATTGGCTCAAGATATAAAATACCCAAATATTTGCTTTTAATCTAAATTAATTCCTGGGCTTCAGTCATTTATTGTCTCTATTTATCAATTAAAATACGTTTCGGTGCATTTTTCCACCATCATCAGTTTTACTAAAATAACAGATAGTTAAAAAAAAATTAATTAATTAAAAAAACAATCACAGTTCGTTAACAGCCTCATCATATCACACATTAAAATACATCACAATTGCAATACTTTAAAACATTCTAAAATTAATTAGGCCTAACAGGTGATTAGTCAGGACAATCAAATTTGGGAAGAGACTAGAATTCTTTGTTCAGATACTTAAATATGTTTACTTACATGTGTAGCGTTGTTGCTGCTTTAAGCCTTGGCATACATACACAACACAAAAATTAAAAAAAAATTGCAATCAAACCACATAATATCAACATAGCAGAAAAAACTAAAAACACCTTAGCAAATAAAAGTTTCACAAAATTTAAACTTAGGATTGACAAATTAGACACGCCTAATGTAATTTACAAAATAGACTGTTTGAATTGTGATAACACATACATAGGTCAAACAGGACAATATCTAAA